GTGAATTTTTAAGACGACTTATTTCTTTTTGAATACTAGCGGGTGAGAAATCGATGGTAGTGAGATTTGAATCACACAGCAGAGGGATTGCAGGAGAAGGGTTAGTTTCGATGGCAAAGAACTTGGCGAAAAAGGAATTTAGCAATGCTGCTTTCTCATAATCCTCTGTTAAAAATGATTGTTGCTTTCGAGTAAGGGTGGAATGACTTTCTGAAGTTAAGCCAACGACCTAAGAAGGAAGACTTGAGCAACAAATCTGGAAGAATTCGCATCACTTAATGCTATGGACTCCCTACGTCTATCTCGTGCAAGCCTTATTTTAAGCGCTAATTCAAATATTTGCGTTATCCTTAAGTGAACTGACAAAGAGCTATTAGACGAATCCTTAAACCTTACCGCGGTCAGAGGTATTCATTGGACCAAAGAAGGGACAACAGTATTCTAGGATGAGTAAAACATACATGAGATACAGTTTGAACTTTATTTCCAGAAGGGAGAAATTATGTGATACAAAACCACATTCCTGTGTAGCCTTCGCAGAAAGTCGAACCACATGAGGCGATCATGCTAGTTTAGTTGTGTAACTTAGACCTATGTCTTTTATGGTGGATCGCTCTAAAAGTGGAATATTTTGAAAGACTAGGGGACCAAGTTTACAATTATTTAAAACGTGCACACATTTTTTGGGACACCCTGTGTTTTCCGTGTCAAATTCTTCCCCTCTGTAGGCATCTCCCATATGTTGACCACCAACGGACTGTTGACGATCGTTGTGTGTTCTCCTGTTTTCGTCACCTTGTTGACAGACTCGGTAATCAGCAAGGGCATATCATGGTCGCATCTCCGGCACTTTGAGGATTCTCTTTTGACCTCTATGACTCCCTCTTCGTCGCTATCATAAGTCTGCTGATGATGTCCACAATGAACTCTGCTGTACTACCTCACACATTCTCATCAGCATGTCGTTCCCATCTCATGCACATTTTCCTCTCATGAGTGACAGTTTTTTCTTCTTAAAATCCCTCAAATAGCTTTCAACGTTCTATAATTTCAAATAAATGTACAAGGATTTTTTCACTGTCTACTATTTTTGCTTTCTTCCCACCTACTGTCTCGTGCCATTTGACATCGCCAGTGAACTGTGTTACTATACATATGCACACATACTGCTCATGATCAATTACATGGCGTGTAGGTTTACCACTTCCCGCTAAATTAAGGCTGCTAACTTTTCGCCTGCGACAATGTAAATGACGCTCGTTTTACTTTTCTACTGTATAGATGCATTTTGTAATAATTGTGCCACCAACAGGGAGCTCAAATGTGTTTGTCTATCTTTACCTTAATAAAACTAAACTGAAACGAACATGCATTGTGGGTCCGCGCGAAGTTATACGTATTGAACAAGAGGAGCCAAGTGCTGCAGCCGTCGATACTGGAGTTTCCTAGGCTTTAGCACCAGGATCCATTCTGTTCCTAAGGTAATTGGACGATTATGTAAGAGATTACGACTATGAAGCGGTAGGAGTATAATCCGTGGTCCTGTCAGCGAAGAGAGACTGTAGTTCAGCTGCAGCTCGTCGAATTTTTCATTTTAACGTTGGTTAGTGTACAACAATGGGCGAGATCCATCAACATTAGAATATACTTCTTCGACGGCTAGGCCTTGTAAAACGTGGGAACGCGAGCAAATGGATTTTTGGCAGGCCTTTGAGGACGTTCTGAATTAACTTCCATGACCAATCTCCGAAAGCACACATTAACACTACGCGTTCAGTAGGCAAGGATAGATGTGCGAGAGTTCTGCTTCTATACCAGATAGGTCAATTTACGGAATGCCCTGCCCACAGATGGTGTGGTGACACCAGCGTTGGAAAGCTTTAAAGGAACCCTGGCAGATTTATGTTTCAATGTAAACCAAACCATAAGGGACTGGACCTAACGATTCATATTATAGTGCTCATGAACTGTTGGAACTCACATAGCTTTCCTATAAAGCACACAAAAATTACTCAAAGAAGTACGCCTGCTTTGCTCTTTTAAACGGTACCGAACTAAGTCACCACTCAACGTTCCGGTGCTTATTCAATTAACTATTGAGATCCGATCAACAACATTACTGACAATAGTTTTTACGCATGTAATATATCTTTGCAAACCCATCGATGCAATATTTCTCAGAGCAGTGCATGCGGCTATTTACTGCCCTTTATCTTCAGAGCAGCAGAAAGCCGAATGTACCGTAATATTGCATGCAACGTCATGTCGAAGTTAGTCAACACTAATTTGAACTTAACGATGGTAGAACATTTAGACGACGGACTTGATGAAAATTCACTTCTTTTTAGAGGAAAATGATTGATTTTAACTCTAAATTGCATTGTACAATACCTTTGGACAATTATTTTTATCATTTGTTTTAATGATCCCTGGACATCAGACTTGGCCTGTCCTGATACTCTGTCTCTATGGCCGGACGATTTAAGTGGCAGCCGGCCGTCCTTTTTTCATTATCCGCTGTTTTCGGAGCGTGGTGTGCACGCAGGGCCGTGTTTTCGTTGGCTCATCTATTGGTTGTAAAACGAATCTGCAAGGTAATGGAAACAAAAACGTTGGAAGCAAACCACTCCAACGGACTGGCAAA